GGATGGATGGATGGATGGATGGATGGATGGATGGATGGATGGATGGACTGCTACATCTATCACCACCACCTTCTTCTCTTGCTTGTTGACCACCACAATGTCCAGTTGGTTAACAGTCACCAGTTTGTCCGTCTGGATCTGGAAGTCCCACAGTATCTTAGCCCTTCCGTTCTCCACCACCCTTGGTAGCACCTTCCACTTTGACTGTGGGACCTCCAATCCATACTCAGCCCAGATGTTCCTGTATATTATTCCAGATGTTCCTGTATTGTATTCCAGCCACTTGGTTATGGTATTCCATGCAAGCTTGGGGTTAAACCCTCCATGCATCGTGAGGAGCTTTCGAGTCTTGATGTCAGTGACTTCTGTCTCCTCCTTTGGTCAGGCTGTTATACAGCTGGATGTCTGATGACTGGCACAGCATGGCACAGCATATATATGCTGATGGATCAGACTTTGTTCTTGTCATTCATCTAGCTCTTCAGGATCAGCCTTAGCTACTTGGTTGTGGCTGACTTTCTTGCATTCTCATCATGATTGCCATTTGCTTGTGGGATTCCAAGGTATGTGTAGTTGTCCTGAATACCTGCAATCATGCCTTCATGTAGTTCAACCCCTTCAGTTGTGATCACCTCTTGCCCCTCTTGCATACCACTGGGCTGCATTTATCCAGTCCAGATGACAGTGTCCTTGCTGTATATCTTGGTAAGGTGGATCAGTGAGTCAAAGTCTCACTCATTTTTGGCACACAGCTTGATGTCATCCATGTAGAGAAGGTGGCTGATGATTGTTCCGCTTTGGAACCGGTATCCATAGCCAGTCTTTGCAATGATCTGGCTGAGAGAGTTCAGGCCTATGCAGAACAGGAGAAGGGACAGTGCATCATCTTGGTATATGCCACATTTGATGCTGACTTGTACAGTTGGCTTTGATTTGGAATCTAGAGACATCTTCTACATTTTCATCCAGGTTTTGATGAAGGCTCTTATTGTCCTGTTGACTCTGTATAGTTGTGTGTGGCATCAAGTCATTGACTTTCCTGTAGTCAATCCAGGCACTGCACAGGTTTGTGTGTCTGGTCTTACAGTCTCAAGCTACAGTCTGTCGGCCAGTGGCTGGTACTTGGCTCCCCTGTGTTGGTGCCAATTCCCTTCTGTGCCTCACCTAAGGTATGACCCTGGCTGGCTGATTTCTCTCTGTGTTGCCTTGATCTTAGTTTCCAGCCTCCTCCATGGGGGATATTGCTCCTTGTTAGTTGCAGCCTTCCTTGATCTTATAGCTAACAACAAACCCCCTCCCCACACACACACACACACACAGGCAGAAACATAATTACCAACCTTTCCCTGTTTGCGAGTGGGTGATAATAATGTGGATGAAGAGACAATCTTTATTTGAAAAGGGATTTAAGGGTTTAGGATTTGACCAAACTCTGGTTAGAGAAAGTAAAACCTGCTTACATTAATCTGCTGCAGGTGAACCTGTTTCAGATTAATCAGGACCACACAAGGAGTCCTAGATGGTCTCTGGGCAATAATTTAATTGCTACAAATATGGGTCACCTTTGTGAATTCCTGAGCGTTGAACAACAGATGAGGCTCTGAGCCAAAAATAATCCCCAACAAGAAAAAATGGAATTTTCTGTGAAAATGCAGTGAGTGTCAAGCGGTTTTTGTGGATCTTGTTGATTCTGTAGCTGAAGACGTTTCGCTTCCATTCTGGGAGGCTTTGTCAGAACAAAAGCCTAAATTTGCTAAACAAAAAGTAAAGTTATCAAAATAATGGATAAATCCTAAAACCAGCAGAATAGTAGCTAAAAGCCCAAATTACCTGAACAGTATGTATACTGGAGCAGATATTAAAGTGAACTGCAGAAATCTTGCATTTCAGGAGGATGCATTTGTAAATAAAATCAAGTCATAAAAAGTATAAAGGTGACAAAACCAGAAGTCACAGCTATAACATGCTGAAGGAGCTGAATGTTTTTATGTTTGAACGACTGAATCAGCTCAACGCAGGTTAAAGTGGTGAGAGCCCGCAACACCGAAGAAACTGTCCACCTTAATCCTGGTTGCTCTACGGTATAAATGATTCTGGGCACAACTTCCTGTCAGACAGGAAGTAGCATCAGCACTGGTTAACCATGGTAGCAGAGCACGGACCGCGGTTTATTTGAAAGTAATTTACATTCAGTTTAACAAATAAAACTCTGTTTTTGTTTTGGTCACATTTATTTAACAACCATAAAGTTGAATAAAATAGCTGTGCTGCGTTCAGGTACCTGTTGTGTTCAGGGCTGGAGGAACAACCAGACCAAACTAAATCAGTGGCTCCATCAACAGAGTTTGAACACGGACCCAAACAAAAAGAGTTCCTCTGAGAAGAGGTTTAGTTTCCATCTCCTACCTTCAGATGAGGACTTAAGAAGAATGTGGCTGAAACATGTGAACTTGAAGAGACCACCCAAAACTCTGCATGTGAGCTCATTTCACTTTGTCGACAAACGGCCGATGGAGGAAAACCTGCATCCTACTTTGTGTCTGGACAACAATAAACCCCCGGAGAAGAGACGCCGGGTCCTCAGAAGGATTGAAAACAGTGACGAGAACATCAGGGATGATTTCAGGTGTATGGAGGACACAGCTTTAGTATTTGTTCATCTTCAGTTTTATGATGTTCTCTACAGTTAACTCAAGCTCAGTGATGGAGGACTTTAAGGCTTTGTCTCTGTGTCTGATTTAAGGTCAGTAAGATTGTGCATTGTGTCCCATGCCTTTTAACAAAACACGACTGACCTTATTACCGTGTAGATATTGATACACCTCAGAGCTGCTCAGGTTGTTCACCGTCAGAAGAACCGAGTCAGTGGAGTAGCTAAATATGCTATAGATGTAATCTGCAGCACTTCTTCAGCTCGTCCTCAGCAGCAGCGGTATGATCATATCGTCCTGTTTTGCAGGTGGTGTTCCCACATGTTTAAATTAAATCCACAATGCTCGGAGAAGCTACGTGAGCTCGTCCTGTTTGCACAGAAACAAACACCGGTTCTGGTCCGCATCGGAAGTCGCGCCCATAATTCATGCAATGCAGCATGAGGGGGTAGGAGTAAGGTGGATGAACAGGCAAACGATGGTGTGAATGCTGACTCAGCATTCAGACCTGAATCCATTCAGCTCAAGAACGAAACCTGGAGTCGACAGCTGTGGGTTTTTGATTTCTCACTTTAATGCTTACATCCAGAACGGCACGCACAGAAGATCCCTGCAGATCCCACAAACACAACAAGCAAACAGCTAAACGCGTACAGTAGATAATATTTAGCACCAGCATAGAGTTCTGATTAACTCTGTTTTCTCTAAAACTCTTTATATGTGGAGATTTTCAAAATAAAACACCTCTGTTTGATCTTCGTGGCTTACATGTAAGCATTCAAACGCAAAGGTTAGCTGATTATAAAAGGATGCTGTACACAAAAAGTGGTACAGAAAAGCAGAGCTATATAATCGTTAAGGTTTTCTCAGTTATGTTGGCAACACTGATGCTCGATTAATTAAAAACAAAACTTTCATATGAAGCAGAGAAAACTGCAGGATTATATCACACTGATACTTTTTATATGCGCTGTATTTTTTAAAAGCTCCACAGTCTGTTTTAAGTTAAATATTAAAATTATAAAGGGAATGTCAAAATCTTATACAGCCATGTGAAAAAGAAAAGTATCAAAATGATCTTTAGAAAAACCAACAACATTGTGTTTAATGCCCCATTATTCAGTACAGGTGATTTTAGCTTTTAAAACCAAGTGGACAAGGTTAGGTGGAAACATTTTACTTCTATTGTTAACCTTTTGATTTACACTTCTTAGCGTTGTTGGACAAACTCTTCCAGGACTGACCGTGTTCTACTAAAAAGCTGCAAAGCTGTGAGACTCGTGTGTGTGGTGAGACCAGCTATGTTGTATGGTCTGGAGACAGAGACATGGACAAAAAGACAGGAGACAGAACTGGAAGTGTCAGAAATGAAGATGTTGAGGTTCTCCTTAGGAGAGACAAGGATGGAGAAGATCAGGAATGAGATCATCAGAGGTACAGCACAGGTTGAACAACTGGGAGATGAAGTTAGAGAGGACACACTGAGATGGTTTGGACATGTCCAGAGGAGGGACAGTGGTTTGGACATGTCCAGAGGAGGGACAGTGGGTATAGTGGTAGAAGGATGTTAGAAATGCAGCTGTCAGGAAAACAGACAAAGAGGAGACATATGGATCAGTTAGAGAGGACATGGAGGTAGTTGGAGTGAGGACAGAGGATGCAGAGGACAGAGTGAGGACAGAGGATGCAGAGGACAGAGTGAGGACAGAGGATGCAGAGGACAGAGGATGCAGAAGACAGAGTGAGGACAGAGGATGCAGAGGACAGAGGATGCAGAGGACAGAGTGAGAGGGAGAAAAATGACTCACTGTGTTGACCCCCGAAGAGGGAAAAGCCAAAAGAAGAAGAAGAAAAAGAAGAAGTGGTGTGTGGGACGTGTAGAACAGTTGTTTATTTCAGATTTTTTAGGGTCAAGTTCCAAATTTCTTCCAAATGCAGGTAAAGGGGATAAAGGTGACACACTGTTGTCTCCCGTTGCTGACGGATTTAAATAGTGAATGTTTGTACTTTCTGAGATGGGTGTTTTTCTGGTCACGGAGTAGCACGGTGGTTCAGTTGGTAGAGCTGCTGCCTCTCAGCGAGCAGGTTGTCCCAGTTCAAATCCCGGCCGGGGACCTTTCTGGGTGGAGTTTGCATGTTATCTCCATGCTGTGTGGGTTTTCTCCCACAGACCAAAAACATGCACGTTAGACTGATTGGTAACTCTAAATTGTCCCTAGGAGAGAGAGAGAATGGTTGTTTGTCTCTGTGTCTCTGTGATGAACTGGAGACCTGTCCAGGTGTCTCTGTGATGGACTGGAGACCTGTCCAGGTGTCTCTGTGATGGACTGGAGACCTGTCCAGGGTGTCCCCCGCCTCTCGCACAATGACTGGACATGGGCACCAGTGACCCCCACCCACCCACCCATGACTCGAAATGGAAGATATGGGTAAAGCTAATGGATGGATGGATGGATGGATGATGGATGGATGGATGTTTTTCTGGTCTGAAATTAAACAGGGGATGAATGTAAACCTTAATGTTTTTGCTGTAAGATATTCAAGTGGACAGAAGTTATATTGTTGCTTGTTCAAGGCGGTGCAGAGTGATGGATCCTGGAGAGTGGAGGGAGCAGTTTTATCCACCAGGCACAACGGTGGAGCCAGGGGGTGGCCATCGGTGGCCTTGGCCACCATAGATTAATCTTTGGCCACCCTAATCATTTGAGGAAACTATACTCTTAAGCAAAAAATATTTCCTCAAATGATAACCAACTTGGATTTTGACTTGGTAACCCAATTTTTGAAGGGAACCTTTCTTATGCCTAGATGCAGCCACACACCAAAAGGGAAGTGGGTACCTCCCTTATTTTTCAAGTTATCATCCTCACATCACTGACGGATGGTGTTCATTTCCAACGCTCGCTTGTCGCTCCACGTCTGGTGACAAAAAAACGAGCTGCTCGGATACTTATGTAATTATTGTTGAGACGAGACCGGTCTGTGAGCTGCAGGGAGAGGACGCTCTGAATGACGGGTGTTTTAAATCCAGCTCAGCGTGCAGCACACAGACAGCTTCAGCTGAATCTTTGATTATTTGGTTCATTCTCAGATTAATTTATTCTAAAATATCAGCACCAGAAATCATGTGATTTCATTAACATTTTAAGGCCTAGCTTTCCTTGAAGGAATGCGTGTCGTCCACTGCTTTTCATGCCAGTAAGTCGACTGGAGTTTGTTTGTATGATAAAAGTAGCGGAACATGTTTCCAGGGAATCTAAAAAAAAGTAACACACCCCACGATGCTGGAGGACTTTCTTTTCGTTGGACCACAAACAGCCATCTCAGGACGAGACCCCACCCAAAGCTTTGTAGGACTGTGAACACGATTCAGAACTTGGTCTGCTTCAGTCTGTCGATGTGGAAGCAAAGCTTCAGCGCTGGCCCGAGCTTCAGTCCGAGGTACTTCATGATCATGTCACTCTTGAGGAGCAACAAAGCGTTTCCATCGATCTCCTGAGAGAAGCAGAGAAAGTTTTACATCAGAATAAATCGCTCTGGGCCGGTAACAGCAGAGTGAAGAGGAGAGAGAAGAGTCGACTCACGTGTTTCCTGAAGACATCTGTGTGAGGACCGAGAGCTTGGGGGTCTGCATCCCTGATGAACCAAACCACATCCTCCACAGACCAGGTGGTTGGGTCCTTACTGGATGGAGCCTTGGACTCCTGGGACTCAGGAGAGACATTATAGCCACCTGGCAGAACCAAAACTTGTTTTACTTTTCAAAGAAAGTAAAATAAAAACAAAATATATTTTCTGTTAAATGCAGTGAATGTTGGTTGGAAAATGGATTGTTCTCTTCAGGTGGAGGGTGAGGTTCTGCTTCAAGTGGAGGAGTTCAAGTATCTCAGGGTTTTGTTCACGAGTGAGTGAAGAATGGAGCGTGAGATTGACAGATGAGTTGATGCAGTATCTGCAGTATTGTGGACTCTGTGCCGGTCCATTGTGGTGAAGAGGGAGCTGAGCTGTAAGGCAAAGCTCTGTTTACTGGTCAGTCTAAGTTCCTCCCCTCACCTCCCTTAGGGAGGTGCTTCAGGCATGTCCAACTGGGAGGAGACCCTGGGGAAGATCCAGGACATGCTGGAGAGACTATGTCTCTCGGTTGGCCTTAGAATGCCTTGGAGTCCTCTCAGAAGAGCTGGAAGAGGCTGTGGAAAGAGATGTCTGGACCTCCCTGCTCAAGATGCTGCCCCCGAGACCGGAGTTCAGAATAAGATGATGGATGGATGGATGGATGGATGGATGGATGGATGGATGGATGGATGGATGGATGGATGGATGGATGGATGAACTATACTTTTAAGCAATATACAAACTAGAAAGCATATCTTCCTCAAATTATTTGGATGGCCCGATAACAACTATGGTGGTGGCCATCTTAGATTTTAATTTCACAAACAACCTTTTGTACTCAGGTGCAGCCTCACAGCAGAAATGGAAACCAGTACCTCCCTTTATTTTTTATCATGCTCACAGCATGCACGGACGAATGGACGAATGGACGAATGGACGAATGGACAGAGGGTGTTCCAGTGTCCCCTCTTAGTCCGTGATGTGGGACAATAATGTGTTTTACATTTATTGCATGAACTTGTTTACTGTTATTTTTAAAGTCGGGCATGAACGTGGTGGGAGGCCTGCATTCCTACAAGGACTGTGATGATGGATTTGTTTCTGATGGCTCCTCACCTGTCCTGTTGCCATCTGGAAAAGAGCTTGGGCTGGTGGACGACTGTCTGCACATGCTCATGGAGGCCGAGCCGCTGGAGAACTGCTGTGAAGAACGGAACCCGTAGGAGGACTTTGGTGTGTAGGACGAGCTTATGGAGCTGAAAGTAGGATCCCCGTGGTCGACGGCGTAGCGTTTGCTGTCTGACTGGTTGACGTCGTAGTCTTCAGTCATGGACGTCTCAGCTAAAGACAAGAAGGAGAACTTCTATGAGGAAAACAAACTCTGTACAAATGTAGTGCAGAATCTGCTGTTGGAGGCAACGCTGAGACCATCGGAAGGGTAGGATCCACTGCTGTGCTGGCTAATGGGTTCATCACTGAAGAGGTTTTCACAGTGCAAGCTGCGGCAGAGCTTCTTGAGAAAACGAAGCACGTAGTCGATGCTGTTCACCACGGGGAGGCTCAGAAGATGCTGCTTCCCATCAAACGTGGCTAAAAGAGCAAAACCGGATCAGGTTATATTTAGTCTCTCACAATCTGCTCACTGAAGGTTTACTCATTGCATTCCTCTCAATCCCAAAGACTCGATGTAAAAGTTAAAGACACCTGAGTGAGGTCTTGGTACAACACCTGATATTTTTTCTCCTCCGTAGCCTTGTGTGAGGAGGGTGAAGACGGTTTTCTGCTGGAAGGCGCTGTCGATGCAGCCTTGGACCGCCTGCTGAAGCACTACGGAGGGCCTGTCGGGTCCGAAGTGATCGGGGAGCTGCTGGATCTTTTTCCTGTCCAGGTTGGGACCAGTGTTGGCCTGCTTATTGATGTAGATACAAACTGAAAGAGGAGAAACAAAATGTTTCTGTGGATCCTGAGTAATCTGGAACATGGCAAACCCAAGCGACTGGACTTTTATCTTTTGCTGTTGAAGACGTTTGGCTACTCATCCGAGGAGTTCCAGGATTTAAACTGAATGAGGTGCTTTGTTTCTGTAAGATGAGTTCTCGTGGTAAATGGACTGTTCTTGTACAGAACCTTTCTAATGAAGATACTCAAAGCTCTTTACAACAATCTGTGCCCTCGTTTACCTCCAACACACACGTGCAGCACTCTACTACATCTCTACAAAGACAATCTGGATCTGTAGAGACTAACCAGAGCTTCACATTCATTCAGCGATGGGAGGGAAACGCATCCCTCCCCCCCCGCTGACTCGTCTTGACTGCCTCAGATGAGTCAGCGGAGGAGAGGGTGGACTGCAGAAACCATCAGAGCACCATCAAACTGGTTGACCCAGTATGTGAAGGTGTTATTTATAAGATTGAGTTTGTTGCAGCTCCTCAAACTGAAGAAGTCTTTTGGATAAAAGATGAAACGTCTCAACGAGAAGAATCCGTCCAGAGGGCCTGAGTCAACTTTACAGGATTTTTTTTTTAACCTGGATTATTGAGCGTGAACTTTGTTAATGTTTCTGGGAATTTAGTGTTCATTTGTTCAGTTTTACCTGTGAGCACCTGGGGTGTGGCGGAGTGGGGGATGGTGGCAGCATCTTGAGGAATGGAGCTCATATCGGGCTCAGGAGTGCTGCTGGGGGGAGAAATGGCCAAAGGTGTCATCACCATCCGGGGTTTGAGCTGTAGAAGAAAAACATTTGATCTTAGGATTTATAATGGTGAGAACCACCATTCTGCTTCTTTTAGCTTTTAGTTACCATTTAGCTTTTAGTTACCATTTAGCTTTTA